TGTAGAATAAAATATGTAAGCCTCTTGAAGTTCTTTTTGACACTGCCAGCCTGGTAGGTCTTTTCTTATTAGTGTATTTACTTCTGTGTATTTATTTAAACAGAGAGATGGATTTTGAAGATATTGTTCAGCTACAGAAGAAAAATAGTAAGAGTAAACTGGAGTTGTGAAAGGGCTGGATTAAATCTTAACTAGATGAGAGAGAAAACAGCCCAAAGTTCAGAAGCGTCCAGTCCCAGTGCTGTAGATGCAGGCAACATACCTCACACTGGTGGTAGCTGCGGCCTGAAAAGCATAAGGGTAGGAAACTGTGTCCCTGAGGTTTGATACTCCCAAACTCTCGCTTAAAGAGCATTTCAGCAACAAGTTGCAGGTACACACTGGCCAAGCTGGTGACAATGGGATTTTATGTCCAGAATTCAGGGATATGTGACAGCTGTGTATCCCTATATAGATTAATCTTTTAGACATAAATAAATCAGCTGGATTGCTTTTGATGACAGAGAAGATCTTAATTAAGGTGAAAAAAAATTAAAACATTAACAAGGATTGATGCAATTCTGTGATGCTTTGGCAATCAATGTACCGCAACAAAACTTTTAGAAAACCAATACAACAAAATAAAGAAATGCCTATTTTATAAGAATGTTCAAAACAGTTTTGGGATCTCTTTGTAGTTCCAGTTTTCAATATTTTATGAAATAAATAGGTGTAATTTCTATGGAATTGTTATGTTTAGTGTTGATTGTAGGAAACAGAGGTAATAGAAACATTAATGCAAAGCACCAAAGTAGTTTCTTTAACAGTGGATTGCCTCTATTGCAGGTATCTGAACTTTCCAGAGCTGGTTAACATTCTTGGTAATGTTCCTAGCTTTTTCATAGTTTCTATCTCACTTCTGCCATTTTATGCGAAGTACAGTAAATGGGTGAGAAATTAAGTTGCTACCCAAGGGAGGATCAAAATAAATTATACTATGCCACAGACATTTCAAGTCTTGCAGTCTCTGAGCAACCACTTGCTGAGCTGAGTAGCTCAAAATGGTAAAGTATATGCCATAAATCAGAAATCCAAGCCAGAGTTTCTGAAAAAACATTATTTTGCCAATGTTTTTACTAAAAACATTGGCAAAATATGTAGTTTAACATAGGCCTTTTGCAGGCTTCAAGGAATTTGAGGATTTTGATAAACAATTTAAATGAACAAGCAGTGTATTTAGAAAGGTACATAATTATCAAGCTTTTAATAATGGCAATGGTATTTATGTAAAAATATTTTGTATAAACCCAAGAATTTACCAGGTATCTGAAAATATATCTGTCAAACTGTGATGTATTTGTTTTAGAGGGCTATATGTTAATTGTGTATACATGTAAAGTTAGTGGTCACCAGAGGCACATAATGGACATGCTTGGAAATCAAAATCTTAACTTTAGCATATTGCTATATACTATTAGATTTCACATTGAGCCTCAATGCCATTATCTCTACGAATGGTGGAGGCAGTGCATTCCCCCAGTCTCAAACTCCGATGTATCAGCAAATCAGTGCCAGTTAAGGTGTTGGCTTTTATATGATGTGAATGTATGTGGTCGAAATTAAACCTACAAATTATCCTTTACTGAGGCCAGTGAGTAATTGTTATAGGGTAACAATTTTGGTTACTTATTCTGGACTTCTGCATTGTTGGTTTTTTTGTAAATGGCACCTAGCAATGAAGTTTCTGCTATTATCAAATGCAGACACCGTGTCCCACTACTTGAATTCTACCTTGTTTGCAGGTATTTGCTTGACTGACAGAAAATATGCACTTTTATGCTGCAATTGCAAGATAGCAAGGAAAATATGTTTATTCTGCTTAGTTTCATGCAGTGTGGCTTGTGTCTCCTAATAACTGACAATCCAGCTACAAGCATATAAGAGGATGGGTATGAAGTGATAAAATCAGGAATGTGATTCAAGTATCATTTAGGATGGAAAATTTAGAATTTTAAAATGCTTTGTGGTTCTAACAGTAATGCTGTTTTTATTACTACTGTACCTCAAATCAGCAGAGATAAAAGCTTCTAAAGTTAAGATTACCCGTAGGATTTGTAAATCAGATTGATGGAAGTAATTGGTAAACTGCTTAATCAAGCCTTGCTTGGAGGTGAATAAGGACTACAGGACAGAAAAAGTAGGCTGTATAAGTAACCCAACAAGTCAGTAGAGTTCTTTTTTTCTGAAAGAAACAAAGATAGCAGTAATTAATGACCCTGACTCTGTGCCAAAAAAAGCTTTCTTCTGACAACTCCAACTTAATTAAAACTTAAGACATTTCAATGGCCTCAGAAAGCCCTTGATGGGGTGAACTCTTGCAAACTCGTGAGAAAATTTTGTAAATTAAAGGAAAAGATGTGTGTTACCACTGGTGCCATGACTCTAATCCCTGGCAGTCAAAGAATCTATTTAGCCAAAGCCTTTTCTTTTAACTGGCTCACACCTGCAGGCTTACTGGCAC